CCAGTTCCTGACCTGCTTGGGTACGTACAGCAGTCGGGCTTGTTGGCAGCCGAGCTTTCTGCTGACGCAGATGTAAAACATTTCAGGCCAGACAGTCTCAAAGAGCACAGGCTTTTCTGTAGAGACTGGCTACAGCTCACACAGTAAACGAAGTGATTGTAAATAGGCATTTCTATCTGATTCAGAAGCACCTGGACAGGCGGGGCTCCTGGGTAACTCCACAGAGTTCTTTTATTGATGGATTCTAAGATTTCGGTCTCTTTTTCATTAAACGTTTGGTGAACATAAAGAAGAAAAACTGCAAATTCAGTGTCATTTATGCCCTCATTTACCTAATTATATTGCTCCCCAGAGACACAGACAGCTCGCATTTCATCAAGGGAAAGCGATTACGTTTTAAAAAACTGGTGTCTGGGCACTGCAAACAGCACCGAGCCCTGCCCGCTGGGGACGGATGTAGCACAAGTAACTGAAGTCTCTGAGCAGAGACATTTCCAGCGCCCGGAGGCAGCCCTGGAACTGAGCCTCCAGGAGGGCAGAGGCGAGGGCTTACCTGCGCAGGCTCAAGCCCGCTCTCTTCACCATGGGGCAGAGAAAAGGCGCAGGAGGAACTTTCGCGAGTAGTGTGTTAGAACCTACCTGTCCTCACTCCATATTTCAGCGTGTCCCGGCAGTCCACCAGGATCTGCTCCAGGGACTCGGGGTTGTCCGAGAGCTCCAGGTTGAAGCCCTCCATGCCCTCCAGGAGCTGGTGTGTGTGGTGGAAGTCCAGCACTTTGGTGGATCTGTCAAACGTTTTCCTCACGTAATTGAGGAGGATGTCCACGACCTCCAGTAGGAACTGCATGGTCTGTTCCTCTCCATTCTTGGCCGGCAGCAAATCTGCGGGGCAAACCAGCTGTCAGCACCTGTTTTGTCAGCGAGAGGCAAAGATGAACCAGCCCCAGACACGGGCACCTCTCCGAGGACCTGGCGCAGCCCGGTTGTAGCGGAGGGGGGTGCCCAGCCCCGGGCCGCCCCCCTCCCTCCCCGGTGAGTGACCCAGCCTCTGACTCTGGGGCCCCAGGCCCCTCTTGGCCGGTGGGAACAGCGGGAGCACCTCCGAGGCGTTCCGATCAAGAGCACGCCTCGGGTCACTAACCTTACCTTGGGGGGCCAAGAGCACCCCAAACCCGCATGTAACCTTCTCCTGCAACGCCCACCCTGCCGCAAAGGGCCTGAATTCCCTTCCCCACCCTCCTCGTCAATGGTCCTGTACCAGCAATCACAGCCCCTTTCATTGCTATTTGATTGAGGAGGAAATAAAATATAAAACTACTGTTCTCCAAGAGGCTGGATCTGAAGTGGCCCCGGAGGTTCAGGAGCTGAGTTACAGAGAATCAGCCCGAAGTATGTAAAATTGCATTTCAGGAAACTTGCACACTCGCCAGCGCTGCTCGCGGCAAACACGAATTCACACACAGAGTTTCCTTTAAAAACGACCAAGCAAAAGCATGGTCTGAACGTGGCTGCACTTCTAAGGGAGGTGAGCGCAGACTACTAAGGGACATGCCCGAGCTGGACCAAGCAGAAGCTTTTACCTCTGGCATACAAATTGGAGAAGTCTGTCTCGGTGCGCCGGAACCTGGATTCCTTCTCGCTGTTCTCGCACGCCAGCAGGCTCTTGGAGGATTGCCTTTCTTTCAGGGAGCTGACAATCCGGCTTTTGTCTTCCAGGCTGTTGGTCCTTTGCAGGAACCCTACATTGTTGTTGCAAGGTGCACAGGTCAGAGCTTTCCCGCTTCCCAACATGTTTAGAAATATCTAAAGCAGCTCTCTAGACAACAGTTCAAAACGGCGTTGGCTCTGGATCTGACTAATGAGGTCAGGAATAACAGTATTTATGGGGATTATTTGCCTCCAGGAGGGAGAGCTCAAAATGCCATCAACTGCAAAAACCCAGCCATGCAAAAAACAAATTTTCGTCATTTAGTGCAGTGGTAAATTCTTATTAAGTCGATCAGACAGATTCCACTCCAGTAATCAGCCACTGGAAGAGAGTTCAGGATGAGTCAATGCTATTTCAGCCTGCAGGCGAAGTTTATGGACCTAGCAGACAGGGGCAATGATGTACGATTAAAATCAGGGCCACTTTCAGCTCTCCTCATGGGGCTCTCACGCGCAAAAGGCATGAGAACAAGCAGCCATTCTGTAGCAGTGCTTCCGAGAGCATCAGAGCTCTAAGGGCATTGATAGCACTCACCAATCCAACCTTCCTGTTACCAGTACGCACCGGCACGTGGCCAGGAGATGCAGGTTTTCCACCTAAACAGATGCTTTGATACTAACACTAATCATCCTCGTGCTCTCCAGGACCTCTGCTCCCACCACAAATACAGCCCTGGCGCCCAGGAACCGATCTTGACTGCTGTTGCTACGTGCAACAGCAATAATAAATCCCTTCACCCTAAGAGTTATGGCAGTGGGCACCATACAGGGCCCATAGTGAGCAATGAGAGCCGTTTACTTTAAAAAGGCAGGGACAACAACCAGCTTTCAGGATTTGATCCACTAAATCCACGTCCACTAAAACACATACAGTGTTGGGCTTTTCGTTATTATTGAAGGCCACGGATAGCGCCCTCCCAGGCTGCAGTGAACGTGCCTGTACGGTTGGAGGAGACAGTATGGCAGCATCGGCCTCCTTTTTTCTTTCTTTTATTTCAAAACAAGTAACAATTGAAATCAAAGCTCGCCACGGCTGAGGGTGTGTCCTGGTTTGAGGACACACCTCTGGCCGGCCAGACAGGAAGCCTTTGGCGAGAGGAAAACCAAAGCCCCAGCTGCTCTCATCTCTATCTCCTGACGACCCTTCCTTCCAGAAACCTCCACTCTGCCGAGGCGCTCCCAGGACCGCGGGCTCCTCCCACCAGACGCCCGCTGCCGGCCCGCCCGGGCCCCTGTAGCTTAGGCAGGCCGCGGGACTGCACCTCCGTGCGGGGAAAAGGCAGAGACCCTGAGCTGCTGGGCGAAGGGCTCCCGGCACTTTGCCTCGGACCCGCTGCCAGCCCCGCAAGGGCTACTGAAAACGTGACCCCTGCCGCCAGCCCCTTCTGCTTCATTCGGGCACCCGAAAAAGTCTCCAAGAGTTGTTCACAGGCAGGTTTGTCTAGCCCATCCTTTCAGTGAACACTTCACTTTCTGCTTTTAATATTGATCTGCTACTAATTAAACAATTTAAGGAATCTCTCTTCGTGCGTAAGTGAGAAATAGCCCTCCAGGATCCATTAAGTGTTCGGTTCGGGGGTTTTAATTATTGTTTTACTTTTAAAACTGCTTTTAAGGGTCCTTGCAACAGCTAGTTCTGTTCGCCTGCTCATACGGCAGAGCAGCCGATACCTAAGCATGTGCGGTCTAGACCGAATTCTGGAACGATCCTCTTTCCCCAAGTTTTGTGGTTTCATTTTGCTTTATGTTTCCACTCGTCTTTCTTCTAGGATCTCGGTGGCGATGCTCAATGATAAGGGTTCCGTGAGAAGAGACGTCTGCAAGAATAGCCACGACGCCCCCGAGTCATGCTCCCGCCGCACAACCTGCCTTCTCGGCAGGCAGGCAGACACACGTCCCTCGGAGGCTCCGGTGGGAAAGGAGGAGGCAGCGCCTCACTAACCGGGAAAGGCTGCAGTTGTCTCCGGTTCGGCTCGCATCGAGCTCAGAGGCGGGGGCTTCACTGAAGGCTCTGGCCTAACTACAGCTGAGCCAGACAGGCAGCGGTGACAGCGTGCCGGGGGCAGGGAGCTCACCCCTTTCCCAAATGACTTGGCGGCGGTTCTTCCCCTAGAGGGCTCCCCGGCACCTTTATTCTC